CATGACCAGATTTTGCGACCAGACGTGGTAACTTTGAACAGCCTCAGCAATGCATGCTCCAACACGTCTCATTGGCAACAAGCATTCACTATACTGCGGGAGTTGCAAGGTTACGGCGTGAAAGCTGATGTGGTGTCATACAACACGTCAATCGCTGCGTATGGCAGATCGCGGCACCTTGTGGGGGCTCTGCAAGTGCTGGATGACATGGCCCAAGAGCATGTGCAGCCAGATGTGTTCACACAAAGCAACTCTTACTTTTGAGAGCCAGAGTTTTCCCTAGCTTTTGGTGATTGACTGCGGTATGCTCATTATACATCATGTTGCTACCAAGTAAGGTGCAGTGATGACGACCTTTGCAAGGGCTACGGCTTGGCAGCTCACGTTGCTTCTCAACTTTGGTTGGGTGGATATGAATGCCATTGCGCTTAGTGCTCTCCAAACGGCGTTTGACAGAGCATGCGAATGGCCATTGGCCATGCTACAACTTGAAGACGCTAGTACAAAGGTACCGGAAGTTGTGCTGCTTTTTTGTTTCTTCTCTACTGTTTGTTCTCTCATTGCAAGCAGTAGAATCATGGACTAATTTGCGAGAGAGGTGGTGCTGACTAAGGAAGCCGGGAAGATGGGCATCTCTGTTGATGTGGTCATGTTCAATGCCGCTACAAGCGCATTCGAAGCTGTGAGCAAGTGGCAGATGATATTCCAGCTAGGGAGGGAAATGGTATTTCGACACCTGTTTCTGGACAGCACAACATGCAATGCCGCTGCCAGCGCGTGCGAAAAATCTGGGAAGTGGGCGCAGACTCTTTGGCTGCTCCACCGGAGTCATTTGCACGGCCGTCCTGAGCCTGACATCTTTACTTTTGCATCAGCAGTTGGTGCATGCAATCCGTGCTGCAATTGGAGGCGGGTTTTGATCTTGATTGTTGACGCGTGCCAAGGGAGGTTGCAGCCCAATGCGATCCTGCACGAGAAGATACTTGACATTCTTTGGGAGCGTGGCAAGCTGTTGCAGATGCAAGGCTTCATCAGCCAAATGAAGACAATCTGCAGCCAAGTTCTACTGCCTGCAAGCCATTCAGGCGCATGTGATTTGTTGGCGGGCGTTGACTGAAACTTGATCCATCTTCTGCAGAGCAGTTTTGCATCGCAGAGTGTTGAAAATGGCATGCGTTCATTTTTCGTCACGAAGTTGCAAAGTGGAGCCTCGAGTGGTCATTACAAGTGCTTGCACAGGCACGAGACTTTTTTAGTGCAACAATGGGAGAGAGTGAGAGAGTGCAAGAGAGACTGCTTGTAGAGCTAATTCCAAGAAAGTTGGATTCTCGCAGGACGCGTTCCAATCACACTCCTTGCACAGAGCCACAGACCACCTGCAAATGTGACCAAGGGCTAACCCCCGACTACTAGAAAAGGCTCACATATCCAGGTGACATCTGGCAACTTCACAGTACAATATGCCACCAACTTTAGCTTTTCTGAAGAATATGCAGCCAGTGTCTTTAGTGGCAGTGCAGTAGGCAAGGCCCAACAAAGCCGGTAGTAGACCCCGAAGAGAGAGAGAGAGATCAGCTCAGATCCATTTTGGCTCAAGTCTCCGCTACGCAAACCCCTCTTCGGGGGGAGCGTCCTCGGCCAAGGCCTCCTTCGGGGGTGGGGGTCTTCCCTGTCCCTGCGGGAGATGGACTTGCGCCTGAGGGGGGAGGCTTGAGGCCTCACGACCGCGGCCATTTTCAAGACAAGCCAGGTGAGCAGGACGCCCCCGGGCAGAGAAGCAGAATTCCCTTCTGACTTCTCCCAATAGGGAACTAAATTTGGACGCCGACTGACCTCTAAGGGAATCTCTAAATAAGCCCCTCTGCTACGGGAACTGCAACCCTGGGTAGCAAATTGGAACACAAACCTCAGTTGTTTGGGAGTAGGCTGCGAAGCTTAAAGTGTGGGCGGTGCACTTTGCAGTCAAAGGGGTTGGTGTGACCTAGTGTGGACATCTTGCCTGGACTTGAGTGGGAGCTGCAAAATAAGTTTTGATTACATTGCCATGGCCGCGCGCGATACACGACCACAGGTGGGAACCGGAGAACCTCGCTTTACAAAGGAAGATGACTCGAGGAAGACGGGAACAGAGGAACCTACAAGTGCTACAACTGGGAGCAGTGGTGCAAAATCAAGGGCTTCGACCTCAGAAGGCACGCAGGGAAAGTCAACTACCACGTCATCGCTTGGGAGAAATGGAACGGAAAACGCACAAGTCGAAAGGGAGACAGCAAGGGTGGCAGAGCCATCTAGCTCTTCAAGAGGAAGCAGGCCTGTGCATACAAGAGAAGCTGCACGCACACCAGGAGAAAAAGAGGTGTGCTGGTCCTGCAGGTGGATGGGTCGAATCAAGACATCACATACATACCGGGAAGGCTGTGACAGGTATATTCCTGGTGCTACGAAAGCGGAATTGATTCAGGCCGCAAGAGGAGGGAATGCGGGACGAAGACGATTCATGGAGAAGCTGAAGAGAAATGAAGAGCGACCTCCTGCCGAAGACCCTCGACCAGCCCAAGTCAAAAAAAAACAGGAAAAGGACAAGGGCGAGGCAACGCTCCACTTCATCTAGGACAAGCTCCACAGCTGCAGGAAAAGAAGCCAAAGCAGCAACCAGCGCGAGAGTCGGGAACAGGAAAAACAGAGAGAAGAGAAGCCAACGTGTACGACAGATGGAGAATCAAGCCCAGACATGGTCGCAGTCATCCTGGGAGAAGTGGCTGAGCGGGCCCCTGGAAGACAACGACAACAGAAACCTACAGAGATCCTGGACACGAAGGAGACGGAAGCACAACTACCAACAAAGGTCAGAGTACCGCCGCCGCCATCTGCGCGCGTTTCAGAAGAGTTGCTGCTCCAAAGAACGGTGGAAAACAAGAGAGAGCAAAGGCTGCCTTGGGAAGAGTGGGAGAAAGCACAGAAAAGGTACATCAAGCAAAAGGAATTGAGGGAAAGGAGCGAGCAAAAGATGGCGGAAGAAGAAGGGGAAGACACAACAGAAACTGGGAATATGGAACGGGCGCAGGCCGAGGCTGCCCCGCCAGCGACTCAGGGAGACACCAACCCGTTGACACCGCTGATCCCGGGAGATGAAACACCCGTAGAAGATGGGAGTGCGACAGATGAGTTGAACTGTGAAGAAGGACGAACAGGAGATGCGGAGGCGTGGCACAAGAATACGAGGCCTGCAGAGCCACCAGGGCCAAGGGAAAAAGACCAGGAGCCGTCGGGCGGAGACTTCCAGCTAAAGATTGATCAACTGGCGTATCTCACGCTCTGGATGAAGCAAAGCGTGGGGACTCGACAAGGCAGGGAATACGCAGAGCTCGACGAGGAAAAAGATGTCATCATCCTAGCGGGAAAACTTCAATAGCTACATGCGCAGCTTGGTGAGGGTGCAACCGTACAACGCATCAGGAGTCAACTGGTAGAGTTGGGAGAATACGAACCTGAGCAGATGGAGAACAAGGAGAAGGCGCCGGACACGCAGCAGCTGCACATGCGATGAATATGGAAAGACAAAGAGGGAAATCTTATTTCCGGGACCATACAGGACATTTACTGGTACAGCGCGTAAAAGACTGACAGGGACACTGAACAACACTGATACAAAGGAAGTATACGTGAAAAGAGAGTAGGGAATTCAGCGTGCCACCAACGGCCCTACGACACAAGATTGTAGGGAAGCTGGTTTACCGTGACCATACCGAGACAATGCACAATTCGCAGCACCCGCAATAAGGGAATGGGGTTGAGATGGGTTGTGAGATAATGGAGTCTTGTTGGGGGGAAAGCGGGGAATTACGAGTCGAAGACGACAGAGCAATTCATGTCAAGCAATACCCTCCACACAAAATAAGTGGGGAATGTCAGATGTGTACAAAGGGATGTCAAATGATTGGCAAAAGATAGAGAGAAAGTTTTCCTCAGGAGCAGTGAGAAGCAAGGGACATGTGGAGATCAAAGGGGGATAAATGATTGGATTTCTAGATCTCCAGATGTTAACCTTTCCTCGGCTCAGTTTCCAGACCATTTTCCCGGGAGTTAGCAGCGCGCTGGATGGGGGTAGGGGTATGGATGCATAAGGGGATATTATGTTCCACGATCTGGTGAACGCGGCAACTCCCAGCAAGTGACATCGGACCATGGGCTGGAGGTTCGCCTCCGCGACACCCTCGGGTGTTGCATAGAGAAATTGTTGATAATCTTTGCTGTCTGAGCCCAGCCAGGTTGGCGCAACCTAGGACTCCAGTAGCACCACGAACGCACAGCCGGCATCCCTAACTGTACTTCTGGGCATAGGGTGTCGCACTGTCTCACTGGCAACGCTCAGCCACAAGGTATTTCCAATCTAGCGTTTACTCCGGAATCTGGTATTTAGGCCCCAAACCGACTTAGGAATACATTGTGGCTACGAGTCAGTCCTCGCAGAATCGTTGTAAGTCAAGGTATGGCTGTTCTCCTTACTTTTCTGTGGGGAACAGGGGCTGGGCATTGAAGCCCGCGAGGCTCGAGTCTTCGCATGGCCCGCGTGAAAGAAAGATCAGCTCAGTCGCCATTTTGGCTCAAGCCACGAGCATCAAGCCCCCCAGCACACTCTGTGAGCCAACTAGCTTCTCCTCTCTCTATGGGTGCTGTGCGAGGCTTTAGGCAAATCACCCTGATCCACTCGCCTCCCTCCATTGCCAGCAACTACTAGGGCAAGTTTGCAGCACCACGCGACCTCACCTTGGCCATTCTGCCAAAGAACGCAGTGGTGAACGCTGCAGTACGGCGTCAGTTGCTGCGCCACAGGCCTTTGTCCCGGTTTCACTGTGCCACAATTCGAACCTTCTCCGCGCCACCTACGCTGGGAGAGGGACAAGTTCACCTACCTGATTGTGACTCTGGCAAGGACACCATCGCGGCAATCAACGCCCTCACAACCATGGCAACCAGGTCGAGTGCGCCATCCTCGGCCAAAGATGTGGATAGCCCAGGGGCCAAACGACCATGCCCGTCACTGCAAGGAAATCAGGAAGGCACCCCCCTCACCTTTGAGATGTTCCAGTCAGCGATTTAGCCACTCATTGCAAAGGTGGGCAGCGTGGAGACACGAGTGGGACAGGTGAAAGCAGCATTCACTGAGCGCATGCAGGAGCAGGTCAACTTGCTAACAGCAATCACCAACACTCAGAGCCAACACGCGTCAGACCTCATCAGCCTGCAGCAGAAAGACAAAGCAAACCAGGAGACATTCACCGACGTCCAGCAGAGACTCACCAAACCGGAAACCGCACCGTCACCCCCGCCCAGAGCCAACTCCAGCACGACAGCAGAGGAAAGGCAACCGGCACTTATTCTGGGCGGACGGGCGGATGATCAAGATGCAGCAATTACCCAACAACTTGCCAAAGATGCCACAGCCAGTCTCCAATCGGACATAGACATGCAAGATGCATTTGTGCCAGGAGTTAGGCGGGGATACCTGGTGGTCCCGTACACAGCCAGGCAACAGGAATCCGAGGGCAACACGTACACCTTACCCAAGCCATACAGAAAGTTCGACAAGCCAACCAAACCACCGGCGCAGTCAATCCAGATGGCCAAGTCAAGCACCTATGGCTAGCCTACTCCCAAACTACAGAAAGGAGGCGCAGGGCCAGATATGCAAGCAAAGTCAAGACCCTACTCCTTGAGCAAGGACAATCCAGGTCGCGACCGGGACATTTTGGTACCAAGGGCGGAGGCACCGGCCCCCTCCCCTGCAAGGCCAACCCACAGCAAGATGCCCGTTGGGATGGCTGGATGCAGAGACTGTTGGCAACTACACCAAGAAGAGCAAGGATACCATCGTGGCGGCGTGGAACACTTTGCTGGAGCCCCTGCTCCAACTGACCAAGACGAACGCGCAGGCAATCCTTTCACATTCACCTTGTCGCATGGAATACTGGAGGCGGAGCCTTAAAGGACATTCTCCAACGATTGCGTCAGCTGCGTGTGCATCCTCAACTTGGCAAGCCTACGATTTGGATGCTCCGAGAGGTCACTCTAGAAGAGTGCGCGCTTCAGTGTTACAAACAACAATCATGGGCCATTTTGGCACACAGAGAGGAGACGGAGTGGAGAGGTACAGGCTTCGCCTACCACGCTTCAACAGTTACCCACATACAGACACCCGCCGCAGCCACAGCCAGCATAGGGGCAACACTCCACACCGCAGCAGGTACAGTCACACACATCATCTGCCCGCCTCCCCCACCCTTGGGCGAACCCAGCAACTGCTACAAGCGTGGCAAGACAACCGCCCGCAACTACAACGTCGCCCGTGCATCATAAGAGCAGACTGAAATGAGACACTCACAACCCAATTGCGAACAGCAACCACAGCAAGACGAGAGCTCATATTGGAATGGATGTCCACACTCAACCAATACCTACCATCCCGGCAAGATGACATCCCCTCTTACCACCCACGCAACACTACATCAGCAGTTCCAGGAGAAACGTGCGCCGCATCACGCCCCAAGAGGGATCACGAGATGCGGCCCTTAGTGACCACGACGCCCTCACGGCTGAAGTCACCACACAGTCCCGCGCGAGCAAGACCAGACAGCCCTTTACGCACCATCCCAACAAGAGAATCAAGATGCTGGGCGCACGCATTCCCCCACCTCCGCATGCAGCACACCCTTGGGACAGTCTCACCCAGCTCGCCCTCAACATCGCAGAAGCATATGCCCAAGCCCAGGTTCCAAGAAAGCAGACAGCCCAAAAACCACAGACACAAGCTGGCCTCAGGACAAATCTCAGCGGACCAGAGAAGGCAGCGCTGGAAGAGGGAGAGGAAACAATGGGATCACACCCGAGCAGTCAGGGCAGCAAAAGGCGATTGGCAAGCGTACAGGCAAAGCAAGGACAGACCACAACAACAATAACTGCTCTGGGGACAGCGGTTGCTGGCGCACTCACAGTGGGAACACCAGATGATTACCCACTTCGAGTCAATCTTCAAACAACTACCAGAAAAAAAGCGCAGTCGGAGTTCAGCAGAATGAGGGGCCTGCTCGACAAGCAGCGCAAGCTGTCGCCGTTCCAACCAGTGACCGTGGATGAGCTAAGCGAGATACAGGACAAGTGGGGCAAGATAAAAGCTACGGGATCCAACGAAGCACTTAGATTCTTCTTGGCGCATGACGTCGCAGCAGCCAAGCTAGTATGGGTGCTGGATGACGCATTATACAAATGACACAGCCCAGAGGCCACCAAGACATCACAGTATTACTGCCCAAGCAACCACACCCCGCCGCCTGGAAAGACACGCGTCCCATCACTCTCAGCAACACCATAGACCGAGCAATGGCTCAACTCCTACTGTACAGATGCAACCACATCCTTCAAAAGAAGCCACCTGTGCACCAATATGCTAGGGCGGGCAAGCAAGCAAGCGAGCTGCTCACAACAATCAGAAGGGCTTCCGACTTTGGATTGTCAAGATAGACATCAGAAAGGCGTTTGAGACCGTAAAGCAAACGTCGGTAGCAGCCTGGGTGGCGGCTAAATAGCAAGAAGACCGCCCATGGGAAGCTAGAGCTAAATCATACGTGGGCAAGGCCTTCACATCATCCCAGCGCCCCCTGCAGACCAACAGCCAATCCCCGCCCAGCAAATCAATGGGGTGAGACAGGGCAGCCCAGACACGGACCAAACAGAATGGACGTGGCCGCAAGAAGCAAACACACAGCAAGGCCAAGCGCGGCGCCTGGCAGACACAATATGCCGACCAGTCAACATGGACATGGACACACGACCAAGCTGAAGCAGAGCATCAGCCACATTACACATGCAAGCGTGCCAGACGCACCAACAACACCAACAACAAGCACCAGTACAAGAAGCTCCTGACCAACAACCCCAAACCCAAGAGCAGCAACGGCAGCGTGGGCCCACCCAGGCAGAGTGGGCCTGGAACAGACCGGAAGAGCCTCCCAGCCCTCGTGCAGCGCCGACCATGGTGGAGGAAGCTGCGTCTGATGTAACCACCCACGCTCAACAAGCCTACACACAACAACCGCCCGGCGTGCGAGAGCCACCCTAGGCAGCCACAGCAGCTTCAGCGTGACGCCTCCAGCCACAACCACCCAGTCACTCCACAACAACCAGTGCAAAACCAGCAAATCCACCCCGCAAGGCTCAAATAAGCAAAAGAAGCAAGAGGAGCAGCAGCCAAGCAAAAGCAACAGCAATCAACATCAGCCTCAGCCACGCAAGGAAAACCACCACCACCACCAGCAAAGGCAGCGCCTGCTGCAACACAGAGAGCAGACGCGAAGCCCCGCACCCTCGCCTCGCAGACAGCGCAGTCCTGTTCTACAGCCCCAGGTCACCGCCCCCAACAAAGTGCCCGCAACGACCATCAAACACCACCTCTCAAAGAACCATCCACCCAGCCAGGATGCATGTCACCCCTCAGAAGCCGCGCAGCTACGGCCTACCCCAGGTGAGTACCAGCAGCACTAAGAGACCAAGAAGATGAGGGCCCCAAACAGCTGAAGTGCAGCAGCAACAGCAGAGCAATTACATTGAAGCATACAGGCGCTTGCAAGAAGCCATAATGACGCAGCATCCTCAGGGCAGCAGCCTCCCACACCCAGTCAACAGCCCGCCGCCGACACACAACATCCACCCAGTCGACCACACCAACCAATGCAACAACCAGCTACACCCTCGCAATCACAAACACCACTGACACTGGTGAAGCCTTGGGCCCCAGCAGGGGCCCTACGCATAATCCCCCATTGGGAACAACAGTTCCAGGCTCGACTACAGCACATCCAAGCCAACAAACTTAGTCACCCAGCCGCACCACAGCCACCAACCACTCACACATTACAACTAACAGGCTCCACGCTGCCAAACACTCGCAGCATCTGGCAGCTAACACGCCTGGGCAACAACCAATTCCTGCTCGAACCGCATCAACCCCAAGCCACCACCTTTTACCACGACTTCCAACCGGCTAACACTCACATACCATTGCCGCACCACCAAGCACCGCCACACCAACATCAACAGGACGACGCCCGGACAAGAGAACCACAACCGCCACGAGCACCAGCCGCGGAGACACCTCAACCACAGCCAGCGCAATGCGAAGCAGAGGAAACAGATGTGGAAAGCGTGCCAGAAGCGCCAGCAGAAGAGACGGCCTTCATGCAACGTCAAGCAGCCAGTGGCGACAACACAGCAGAGCCATCCACACCGCCGCGCCCAAGCGTACCATCAGCAGCAGCACGACAGGCGCAAGCAGATAGGCAACAACAGCAATGCCGAACAAGCTTGTGCACAGCAAACGCAGGTCGGGAACCAGAGGACACAAAACCAGAGGACACGAACACACGCAACAGGCCCGACCAAAGCCACAGCCACCAAAGCCAGGCCGCAGCCAAGTAGACCGCCGCCGTCGCACACCAACAACACAATAGCAGCCAGCAGCAGCAGCAGCAGCAGCAGCAGCAGCAGACCAGCAACAACAGCCAGCGCTTGCACTTCACCACCTTCCTTAACAGGCAACCGCCTTTCATCAAATACCAGGTGAGATCCAAGATGCCCCCGCAAGCAACCTCAGCCGACAACCCAATGCCACCACCGCCGCCTCCACACACAACCAGATGGAGCTCGCCCTACAGATAGCACAATCACCCACCACCCACGCGCAACAACTGACCACCAAAATCATGACAGGCTACCGTACCCCACTACCAACTGAACCCCGCCCAGACGACGTGATTTTCATTGATAGTCAAGAATTACAGCAGCAGCCAGAAGCCGCCGCAGACAACCAACCACAGGGAGAGCAACACTCCCATCAGCAGCAACCAGCCTCAACCAAGCATTAACAACATCCACAGACCACCAGTTGCAACACACACCGCGGCCACAACCGCAACCACAGCCACACACCCAGCCACAACAGCAACCATGGTGGGTTCTAGGGACACCCCTACCACAAGCAGCAGAAAAAGCGCAGCCCAACCTCCCGCCCTGCCAGCAAGTCAAGCACAGCAACTGCCAGCAGCCCTGACCCAGCAGCAACAGCTATGGTGGATCCTGGAAGGCATCGACAATTTCTTGTTGCGCTTTGGGAACAATTTACATCACCGGGGAGAAAGCGCCAGAACCCAAACTGGCCAGAGGAAGTCCCACCTCCAAACTGAGACAAGTCTGAGAAAGCCAGCAGCCCAAACTCCCGCGACTTCCATGGTCCGAATAAAGTGCTCTGCAAGCCCGATAGCACTGTTGTACGTCAGGCTGCCTGCTTGACGAAAGCAGCTGCAGCTCACAGTCGGGAGTAGCGCGAAACAATTTGCAAGCTGTCTGCGCACTCCTACCCCAAAGTTGCTCCGCGCTCTGTTGGTTGCTTCATGCGCAAGTCATGTGCACTCGTGAGGCAGAAGAACACTCATCACTCATCATTTCACCCCATCCCTTCCATCGCTCAACGCTCCAAGCTGTGTGGTATGTCCTCACAAAGGCCTCGGTAGGCAGGAAGAGGTGCCAAAGTAGCTTTTCCTCCACGCGTTTTTCTAGCAAGCAAGCCCCAAGGAAGAGGTGGTTTGTAGTCCTGCTAATCCAAGTCTTTACTTGGCCACTCCCTGTGTCATCCTTCGCATTGAGAGAACAGTTGGTGAACTCCGCAATGTACCAGGGGCTGAACCCTTAGTCCTGAGCATGCCGGAACCAGGCCGTTAAGAAGCCAGTGTACTTTGTTGTTTGGTGTTTTGTTTATCGTCCTCTTCATCCACTTTTGGAGCCTGTGCTGCCATGGTCTCGCGCCTATACCAACCCTGACCTGAACTCATCGGGAGGCCTCAAAGCCGGCAGGTCTTCCTGCCACTCCCGTAAAGCAAAGCAAAGCAACAGCGAAAGATCTGTGGGTGCTTGGTTTTGGCTCAAGTCTTGGGAACTGGGGGCACCTGCCCCCGGTGCTTGAGCCAGAGGCTGAAGCCACTTCCAGACGAGATGAGAGCCCCGCCTTCCCCTACCCCGAACATGCCTGGGGCCATGGAAGGAAACCGGTGCGAGACAGACAGAGTAACCGTGGTGAACCCTGACAGCAGCTTCCGGCGCAACGACTGTGCCAACTTGCTTCAGCATGACGCTAGTTCCAGTACAGGCAGCTCCAACCAGACTGCTACAGAAAGAACCGATGGAGGGCAAAATCCGTCTACAGGAATTCAATGCTGCAGTTTTGAAGGCAATGGGGGCAGAGAACCCAGAATTTAATTTGACCTTGCCTCGCTCCGCAGAACCCATATGCCGGAACCCACTGCTACTGTAGTGGAGGAAGGCGGACTGGGGGAAGGGGTTTGCGTAGCCGGCCCAGAAGAACTAACCACACAAGCGGTCCCAGGGAGTTGACCTGGGCTGTTTTGAAACATGGGCGGCAATTAGAGCATGCTGTTCATATGATGAGGAAAAAACAGGTGAAGAGGAGGTGGAGCAGCCGGCGAGCGCAGAGCCTCCTCGAGAGCAAGAACAAACGGAGACGCAGTGAGCTCGCACGGCAAGAACCACTGAGCCCGCTCAGGTGTACAGAAGAGAGCTCCCAGTACAGCGGAACAGCAGCTTGCTAGGCGTTTGTAACATAGCCTTTGAGGAGCCGGTGGAGTAGCCAGGGCTGCTAATGAAGTTGTGAGTATTGTTTGTTGTGCGCAACCCTCGGGAACCGCTGGCTAACCGGATTCACAACTAGGGGACCTGCAAACGTGAGAGCCGCTATGCTGTAATCTTATGTTTGGGTCTCATTATCGTCTTCTTGTTCAACTCACACGGCACCAAAACATCCAGAACAGACGATGACGGGGAGGCCTCACGGCTCCCCTAGCCAAAGCCAAATCTGGGGGTGCATAAGAACTCAACATGGGGTACCATTACTCGCGGTACTTTACCTGGGGGGTCCTGACCGTGACCACGTTTGCAGCGCGGGGTTGTGCTCCGGGGGGGCTGTAGAGCTCTCTTACGCTGGTAGAAGAAGAAGAGAGGGAGCTTTTGACGCTCCCGCATTGAAACTTCCGGGAGCTGGCCACGTAAAATAAATCTTGTGTTGAGCCCTCAGGGAGCCATGATGATCAACCTTGTCAGATAGCCCGAGCGAGTGTCGTTAGCTGGCCCTACCGATGCGGACCTTGTGGTACTCCAGACAGCTAACTTTTCGCACGGCACTCGCGCTGCTAGCTGAGCTGAGCTATTGAGCGAGACATGTAACTAAGGAGCCAGGGCCTACTAGCTGATTCGTTGCAAGCTGCATGGATGTGGTACCAACCTGGTGATCGTCTGCTTGAACAAGATCACGCGGAGATAAACTGATTTCCAGCGGCAAGATTTCCTGAAATGGATGCAGTGATGTACAGTTTATAGATCTTCCATGGGGGCGGGTCTGCAACTGTAGCTGTTTGTCTTTAATCAACCTAACCTTTTTTGCACCTTTGTTGCTGCCCCTTGTTTTGATGGCTTACAGTTCTGGAGAACCCGGCTTCTAGGGTCCGCACTACACCACGATGTAGGCACACCCTCCTTAATCAGCGAAGTAGTGAAGCCGAATGGGAACCCATAGTTTCTGTAGCCAAGCTGTTTGTTGGATGCTGTTTATTGTTGTTTATTTTTCTTCTTTGTCGTCGTTTTGAATGGGGAACCATGAACCAAACCAAAGTCTCACGCCGAGAAACCTGTACTCGAACATCGGGGAGGCCTTAAAGGCTGCTCGAACAATCCACTCCACTACTCCAAAACTAAAGCCAAAGCCGAAAGAGGAACAGTGAAGAATTCGGCTGCAAGGTGTTGCGGTCGTTCCGATTCAAACCCTGGCTATTGATAATTGATGCAAAGTGCAAAACAACCTGAAATGCCGCACAGGCCTGGTGTCAGAAGCTGCCAGACCTTTTCGTTCATGGTTCGTTCGTCTTCGGATGCCAAGAATTTCAGCAGTGGGCCATGTACAAGCAGCTGGTAGATGTTGGCAGCCTCTGCCGACCTTCTGTGACCTTCTGTTCTTGCTGCAACAGCTGTTGCATCATGTTGCTTTATGTGTCATAGCTCCCCAGCTTCTGCTATGGCTACGGGGTCTGACGTGGCTTGAAGCTTTGCATCCCCAGCACGTCCGATATTCCCGGGAGCAAGCACATACTTCTTGCCCGAGTTGGAGAGGTTTTTACAAATCGTGATTGGCTCGAGCGTGGTAGAAGCAACTGATGTGTGTCTCTTAGAAAAAGTAAGTTGCAAGAACTGCTACAACTTCTCCGGGTGCAAGATGAATCAGCTCTTCAAGCCCTTTTTCATCCAGCTTGCAGAAAGAATGTTTTTGGTATACCAGATGTACTTTGTGTGTTATTTTCTTTTCTGACATCGTCCAAGAATTTGCCCATGCACCTGTTCCTCAACTGGAGCAGCGGAGCGCAAAATGCAGGTCTAGGCGCAGGAACCATGGCCCGTGCCGCTCAAAGCTCAGACGCACTGCGTTGGTGCATAGGAAGGCCGTGCCTTGGAAGGATGACGTGTGCTTGTGTGAGTTAGAGGTGCTGTGTGATTGAGGGTGTGGCTTGATTGGCAATGTTTCCGATTGTTCCGACACTTTGTTGCCTCGCCGGGCCCCTATCAGCTTGCACATAGCTAGTTGCCGGCCTGATGGTTCCAGGCCTGATGATTTGATGTTTTTGCGAGCTCATGTACATCAGCGGCCACTGTAATTTCTCTGTCGTTCTACCGTCGCAGGTTTCTTGGTATGACAGGCGGCTCCGTGAGCGAAGAAAGCCACAGCCTAAGGCCTAAGCAGAACCAGTTCTACTTCTTCGAAGGTGAATGAGCAGTTGAGCAGTAGTTGTCCACCTTGTGGATTTCAATTGCGAAAGGCTCCAGGGATTGCCTGCCCCAAATTGCTGAGGCACCTTTACCGCATCCCACGCAGCCGAGATAGACGGACTACTTCGCCCAAAGGCCGAGCTCTCCACGACTTTTCGTTTGTGCTATGTCTCCGCGGTCTCTGCATGTTGTGGCCTAGGTACCATCGCTGTGCAAGCACATGTCTTCAGAATGCTCCATGCGTTGTTGGCATATGCATGCCCCATTGGAATGGCACAAGACAAATAAGACAGACATGAAAAGTGGTGTTGCCAGCTTGGCGATAGCAGTCAGCATGGAGAAGGCCTGTGCCGCCATGGTGCTTTTACCCATCCTGCAGGTTGTGTGTGCTGATGTGTGCTGTGTGCGCTGCAAAGAAACAAGCACTCCTTAGCAACAAGTTTGTCTTGCATACATACTGCGAGCAGATTGGGAGTGTTGTGTTGTTGAAGCATGAAAGCTTTACAAGCCTGCCCTTTGAACAAAGGGGCGGGAACCACTCATAGCCGTGGCACGTTTCATGCAATAGATCTAGTCAGGGACAGCAGGCAGGGCTGCACTTGTAGGTGCTGCAATCGGAAATGGCAATCATTGCAAGCGAGGCTCACTCGATTCGTGCCAGGAGCCACCTGTGTGAAGTGTTTGGTGTGCATTTGTAGCAGCTCTGCCATGCTCTGCCCCTGGAACGACCTCGTCAATGGCAGGAGTGTGTTCAAGTTTCCGGGCAATCTTGCAGAGCTGGAGGAGGCGACTGGTAAGCTCATCATCAGATCGTTGCATCGTCTTGTGTATTGTCACCATGCAGGCTTGGGTATACTGCGCTGGACGCTGGCAATGCTACTGATGGGAAGCATGTTAGTGCCTGTTGCTCAGCCGTTTTGAACACGGTGACCTTCCGGACCTTGCAAAGTGATTCGGATTTGCCTGTTCTGTAAAGTCGCCCAAACTTTCGATCTGATTCGCTGCAAACACAAGGGCTGAGGTGCTCGGCAGAGGTGGGGCTGAGTAAGGCAGCGCCTGCGTGGGCAGGGGCGGGGCAGGGAGCTGAGAAAGCGACCAGATTCTGGGCATCCTTCTCGGCAGTTTGTGCCCGGCGCCGTTCTTTTGATGATTTGCTTGGGCTGCCTAGTCCGTAAACACCGTTTGCTTGGCAGTTCATGCAAGTGTCTGCCGATCAGCTAGTCTTGACCCACAGGTAAACTTCTCGGCAGATCATTTCTCTGTGAAGGCTAGCAGTCCGCACCTGGTGAAGAACGTAATTCGACTGACAAACTGCTGGCAAAAGCAGCATCCCCGTGTTTCAATTCGCAAAAAGCATCAAGAAGCAGAATCAGAATCTCGGGATAAAACAATATTACAGCAGGATGTCATCCAGCATTCTTCTCTTTCGTTCATGGGTCTGTCTGCCGCAGTGACTACGGAAAACTTTGAGGATCCTGTGCGGCGATGCTGAGCAATGTCAAAAATCAGTCCGTTATGGTTCGTAAGCCAGAAATAGACAGAAGTCTTCAACACGAAATGGTGGCGAGGGTGCCTGTTTACACCAAGAGGGTTGTCCCTGCTCCCCGCAGGGTGGAAATGAGTCGAGCGGAGAGGGCCCGCCGAGCGCCCGCTAAGTCCTAAAAAGGCAATTCTGGGATATGTAACGACAGGGAAGAGCTCCAGACGAAATCGCTAGGAAGCGGGATGAAGCAGACTAAGCAAAGATCCCCTCAAGCTGATCCTGATAGGTTGCACGGGCAGTTAACTTGGCTTCTTTCAAAGACAGCAGGCAAGGGCGTGACTCAATGACCAAGGCTGTATATGTACAGAAGTTCCGTTTGCCCTGTCGCCGGGCCCTGAGCTGCCGAGATTGGATGGAGCGGAGACATGAATCTGGGGTTGTACTGTCAGCGGAACTAGTGGTCCAGATACAGTTATCTGCACTCTTTTTGGGCGAAAGCTCGGCTGCTCTTGAGCTACTTGTAGGTAATCCGCGCCGTGCACATGTCGTGCAGGGCGGGGATCTGAACCACGGACTAGCGCTCTGAGGTCTACAACGAAGAAAGTTGTCAAGACCTTGGTATTCTTTATAGTACTTGCTGAATCTGAATTGTCAGCTAGTGCATCTCGATGCAAGTGCTGCGTGATCTTTTGTCACGTGTCTTAATTCACTGTGATCAAAGGCTGACCTTTTGGTTCTCAGACTGTAAGGGTTCTGCGCAGACCTTTAGATATCTTTAGATGTGCTTGGATCCGTCAGCCTTAGGTGACATTGCCGGAAGGCTCGTCAGCCATGACATCCAACTATTCAAGTTCTCCATCGATGCCTTACGTTCAGCTCCTTGCATGCTGGTGATGGCGTGCATCGCACGCCAATCTGAGAGCAAGTTAGAATTCTGGCAGCCAGCATGTGCTTGTGCCTGAGAGGCTGTCTACCAGCGCCGTTGCGCGTGGCTTGTGTGCTGCCTCAAACTCCGGCTGTTGAACTTGGGAGCGCGAATGGTAAAATTTGAGGGAGATGATTTGAAGTCTGCTCAGGATGTCTGCATTTGAATCTGGAAGTCATCAGCTGCCAGGTTTCCGAGAGAGTGAGTCAACAACAAGAGCATGTGTTCGGATAATTGAAGCGATGCATCGACTTTCAAATTTGCGCTGGTTGTGACTGCGCACAGTGACAGCATGGGATGACAGGGCACTTTTTGTGCCCAGGACTTGCTTAGCTTGAAGGCACAGCTAGCTTGTGGTTTGTTAGCCACAGGTGGATGCAGGTGGCATTTGTATGTACATCCCTGTCAAGGCAATACCGCTGCGAGATATTTTGGCATCAGTAAGCTCTGGGCAGATATTTTTCTATCCAGAGCTCTTACAAGATCATATTTCATTGTTTGGGTGTGGGCTGGTTCCAATCTATTCGTGTGAAGCCAACATGAACAGCCCACATGAGTGGCGACGCGTTAGGCTATGAGGAGAATGAGCAGCTACATGCACGCTAGCTCGAACGACGTGGTATACAGACCTTTTTTGGGACATTCCATGCATACGTGAAGTTGACTGCCAGAAGGATTATGCAGGGAAGGCAGGTACAAGCATTTTGGGGGTGGGGAGGTCTGGGAGTATCGTTTTCTGATTTTTTGTATTCCGTGCTTCTTTGCGTTGTAGAGTGTTTTGTTGCCGAGCCCGCAATCCGCTCAGTCGCGTTTTCTGTACCCAGTGGTTTCTTCATGTTTCTTGAGTAGTGTGTCGCTGTTGCTGGGTAAATCTCCTTGGTTTCGCAAGTTTCGCCCATGCCAAGTATTGGCCTTGAAACTCTTCGGGCAGGTCAGCGGTGCGGGTTCTTGATGGCCGATGCTATATTCGAAGACGTTTTTGGACAGCTCATGCTTTTCTAAGGCGGGAGACCGCCAGCGTCAGTTTGCGCATGAAAGACTTTCTTGGAGCCTCGGCTGAGTGTCACGGGGCGACTGGGCCTGTTCAAAGTATATAGATAGAATTAGTCACGACAAAGGTTGATTCAACATGAGAAAAACATGGGAGCATGACGTTGTCTTCTATTCGTTCAGGCCTAAGTTTTTGAGAGAATTCCATGCACCCTGATCTGCACGGCACTTGGTTCGGTTGCGTTGTGCCCGAGGAGCCACCGTCATCCAGGCCGAGATTCAAGCATACGAATTGGTGTCTTGTCGTTGCGCTACTCCGTAGCAAAAGCATCTATGCTGTTGCTGCATCTTGTCTGGGTCTGGAAATGTCGTGTTGAATATTCTATATGGACTTGGATCAGTGTAGCTTGGCTTGCAGCAGCCGGCTTTGAACATGGGGTGCATTGCTTCATGTTTGGTTGTGGGCATAATGGGGATTCAAGAGATTTTTACCGAGAGTAGGTGCTCATGCGCCATCTATGGCTCCTTCGCTTTGTTTGGTTTCCTGTGGCAGGGGCTTCGGTGCAAAAAAGTTCCATCGAGGCTGCGCCCGTTCCTCGGTTCATCCCCGCCAGGCCGCGCCACAGCAGAGCGATGTGGAAGGCCACAAGGGTCGAGGATGCTCCTTCTTTTGCGCCTCTTGAAGCGTTTACTGGGATCAAGAAGCAATTAACTGTCCATGCAGCACATGCAATTCTGTGACACCGATATTTTCACATCGGATCAAAGGACATGACCGGCAGATATGCGTTTTCTGAAGAGCTCCTCGCACTTGATTGGTGGGTGAGGTTATGGAAGTATGACTCCACTATCAGGACACATCTGGCGTGGAATCCAAACTTGTATTCCAGAAAGCAAAATGATGACCATTGAGCGTGAGCCATTCTGACAACTTCTGACAACTTCTGACAGCCAAGCAGAAGAGTTCGCCCGCCAGGCCACCACCTAGTGTGAAGCAGGAAACGCAAACAAAACAAGCCTTAAGCCAAGGCAGAATCAAGAATACCTTGATCGCATTTCACATTCTCATCCAGACTTCTGACTTGGTGCTTTCAAGCTGCAGGTGAGTGTTTGGCAATCAGGTTCTCAGTGATGCAGGTCGTTCTTTGGCTTCCTCGTTCCACTGGCTGACCGACGTTTGCAACTTCCGATCATGGATCAGTGGTTTGTTGATTGTTTTTGTGGGGCAACTGTGTGATCAAATCTCCTTGACTGGGCGCATAACTGTAGACTTCTGCTGTTTTGGCAGATGATGCCATTTGTGCGCCGGATCGGCCACTCACAGTGGAGCCGCCATGTTTGGAGATGTTTGGCTCCAGCACCAGCTTGCATCGATGCTGTTCTGCTCTTTCCGCACGAGATCTGGTTGTGAAGAGTGCAGACGGTTCTGATACAACACTATGGGAGAATCGTCCTTGTGCCAGGAGCCCGGGTGGTCACCACGTGCCTGGCATGTGTCGGAGGGCGAGCAGCCGTTGCCCCAGTTTGATTCAGTTGATCTCTCTCAGATCGCGGTGCACACGTTTGATCACTAGCGTGATCTTAGATGTTGGCGTACTCTATACTGAGAGCCTGTGATTCTGTGGACCTCTCACCACTCCTTGGCGAACGGCATGCCGCTTTAGGCAAAGTGACGGACGTCGCCAGACTGCTCATTGCATTTGCGCATGCTGTTTTGCCTATCAACCCGAACAAGCCCGTGCTTTTTTATCGAAAGGATTGTGAAATCAAAACTTGGCTGCCACAATTGAGAGAGAGGCACAGATAGGGACAGGACGCACGCCTACCGCGCTCCCCCCCGCCTAGTGCATATACTCCGAACCATACTCAGTCTTAGGGTTGGTATTTATTGTACGACCCGAACACTAAGGGGTGGTATATAATAGGATGCTATTGAAATCTTATTAAAGTAGAATAAAAGTCGACTAAATTGAATGAAAGGCCGATGAAGTCTAATCAAAGCCGTAATGAAATCGTAATAACACCGTAACCGAAACCAAACCATTTGAACATGTCTTTAAAAGCCATTGAAATCTCATGAACATCTGAATAAAACCATGTAAAATCAATTCAACAGCGTAATTCATGGAATCAAAATCTAATTATCGATTAAAATCAATTGACATTTAATTCGAACCTGAGTACAAACTAATCAAAAAAGATTTCGAATCGCAATAAACCCAATTCAAAACGCTTTCGAATTCTGCGTAAATTCTGTTCTACAAGCCATGGAAAAGGATCATACTCGGGACCCACCCTAATTCAGAGGATCCGAGCCGTAATTGACTGTAGTCATGGCACTTTCAAAAGTAGTCTTGGGGCCAGATTTACGAATTTGGAATTCTGGGGAACCAGTATTTTATGTTCGGGGGAGGCTTGAATATGAGGGGGAGGGGATGTGCGAAGATGGAAATTGCCTCTTAGATGCCCCGTTTTTGAAGCTCTTGAGCTGCGACAGCGAGGGTAGTCGATTGTGCAGAGGTTCTAGTAGTATTCGCCATCCTCATCCTCCACGTACTTCTGTGGTGGATGTTCAGTGGAGATCAGGGGCTGCTGGCAAAGACTAGGACTAATGTTTGGCCTTGGGGATGCTCCTTGTCACAGCTCCATGTCACATGACTGGAGGTGGGATGTCGCAGAATGTCTTCAAGCCCCCAGCTACTTGTAACAGCTCTGCCGTACATGCAAAAGTTCTGTTTGCCATTGGTACTCTGAAGAGTGTGAGGAAACTGTACTTGAAAAAGACATGGCCCTTTTCAGCTCGGTGCAGGATGGCCTGCGAGTCGCGGAATCGTGTCAAGGATAATGGCCACACTATCCGATATGACAGCCTGTGGCTGAGCTGTTACACGTGCAGCATGCTGGTGCAGGAGTTTACACTCAACTGAAGTATGCGGGAGAGTGTATGCCTGTGCACTCTGTGGTGACCAAGACTGGGACCGCAATTGGTGCTGGGTGGGCGTCAAGGACGTTGGCCGTCCCCAACAGAAGGGAAACATATGCCTGCATTCGCAAGCTTTTGTTCGGACCTCTGTACCTGGGACTTTCCTGCATGTCAGATCTTGGAGCAGTCTCCTGACATGGGCCAGGAGCAATGCCATTCAAACCTGAAAACTCCGAGGTCCTGGGCAACGCCCTCTGGTTGCAATAACAGAGCAATCAAGATGTGCCAGGAGAACAGGCGGCATTCCTGTGGCTAAGATTGGTTTGCTATGCAAGTTGATTGTGCTGCATCTGAGATGGCGCAAAGAAGCTTTTAAGAATGGTCGGCTCCTTAGAATGCCAGCCATTTGTGAAGCTGTTGGGCATTCAGTGCTTTGCTACGTCCACGTCTGCCTGTGAACTAATTTTGTCAGTGGTAATTTTCCGCGATAGTGTACTGCTTGGCCAGCCATGTATCAAGGGTCAACAGGTGCCATCGACACTCTCTGTATGTCTCTGCTCAGACGGCATTGGAGAGGAGTTCTGCATCAAGCCAAGGTTCATTGCACGAACGGCATAGCAGCCTCTTTGTATAAAAGAGGCTCACAATAGCATTCATAATAAAGTGCCCTCATCTTACTGGAGCCTCAAACATCTCTGTTTCGAGAAACTTCCAAGCGTCACCCAGTGCTGCCCAGCTCGAAACAGAAAACAAACAGCAACGGTCATGGCATGCTGTGGTTTATGATGGTTTATGTGTAGGGCTGACCTAAAACAACCACGAGCCACCTCAAATGATATGCTCCCCCAAACATTCCTAGGAATGGCACCTTCGCCGGAAGATGCTCCTTTCTCTGGACTCGAAAATGAAGAGGCGCTGTAGGAATGAAGAGACTTCACCGGAACTTGCTTTTTTCCCAAAAGCACCTGGTGGATTGCTCCTCCACTGTTAGGCTGCTAAGAGGAGCTATAGTTATAGTTTCAAGAGGGAGGAGTGTCTCGGCAGGCGCTGCCTAACCGGCTCTTTTGTGCTCTTGCTGTGGTACAGTTTGTATCTCAAGAGCGTCAATAGTTTTTGGGGCGCCGTGGAAGTTGTTTTTTGCGATCAGGTTCTCCATGAATGCGCATTCCGCTTTCAGAGGATTCTTTCAGTATGACTTGAATTCCTTTCAGTACCTTTCAGTTGTGCTGCGGCTCGTGCTCCGCATGAATTTGCGTCCAAGGCGTCTAAATCATGTGCCAAAGGGGGCCTATTTTTTCAAAGATTTTTTTGTTTTATTTTCATTTTTTTTGTTTCTGTGGTTCCTG